GTTACGAATCCATCTGGTGGTGATGCTGTCTAACCCACATTCTTCTACTTTATCTAGTAGTAGGTTATGTCAAACGCCTTAAGGAAGTCCAAGTAAACTATATCGACGGCATTCCTCTGGTCCACTAATTTTGTCACTTTGTCAAAGAATGCAATAAGATTAGTCTTATTGTGTTGGCTTTTTTGGCAGCAGTTACCAAGGTGCATGGAATGCTGTTGCCTTCACACCAAAGTAGTGCCTATTTATCTACTCACATTTGCATGCTTTCAGATTGGATAGGAGCTGGGGCAACTAACAGATCCCTTCATACAGCGCTCAAATCTCAAACCCGCGCTGTCAAACTTTCCAGCTGACAAGCTCAGTGTCTTTAGCAACTGAGCTATTGCGCCCCATATTATTGTATTAATAACGATTCACTCTTCTTATTCAGCATTTAGATTGCAATGTATTTGACATAGGATTGCTTTTGAAGAAACTGAAAAATAGTCAATCCCAAATAAAATGGAATGAGTGCTAATGGGCTTAAGAGTGTAAGTGCAATTCTAGAGTTTTGGTTGCTGCATTGATTACCAATAAACTTCCAGGTTGGAGTCAAACTTCTGGTCTTGGGGTTAGCTAATGTGGCTCTGTATCTCGAAGCGCATCTTTTGTCCAGATTTGATTTTTATCCTGTTGTTTTTGATCAACTTGGCAGTGTACATAATTAACACTTTACCCATCCTATGCATTTACACGAAGGGGGGGGGGTATCTTTTTTTAATTAATACGGTAGCTATCCAGAGCTTTATAAAAAGGGAAGCAGAGATTGAAGAGACAGAAACAAAGATATATTTACATGCAAAATATTTTATCAGTATTATTATAGAACAATGTCCCCCATTCTCACAAATGATCAAAAATTGAAAAGGGTGGGGGACACTGTGAAGCTTCATTATAATGAAATATTTTACCTATCCATTAGCTATAATTTTAAATTTAAAATGTATTTAATTCCAATAGTTTTAACATGGTTAAATCACTAAAAGAGCAATAATTTAATTGGTATGCCTTTTTTATAGGTTTGTCATTTATATGGTTTGTCATTAGTTGTGCTGTTTCCTTCACACATTAGTCTTATTCTCATGATTTTTTCTTTAGCTTTCATTATTCATATTTTGAAAGCAACTTCATTATTATGATTGAAGTATCCCACAAGTAAAATTTCTACAAGACCAATGAATATATTCATAGAAATAAGATGTTATTGTTGTTGTTGTGATAATTTGCCAACAGTGCACAAACAGTCGTTGAATATGAATATATATGTATCCTTCCCTATTTCTGCAAAATGTGCCAAATACTATACCAGAGCAACCATACGTTTACTTTTTCGGTAGAAAAATAATATATCCTGATAAGTATCTTGTTATAGAGTTTTCCTTGCATGTTTCATTAGAATTAACTTCCAAGTTCCATTGCATTTATGCTCAATAAACTATAGGCAGGACTATACTTTCGGAATTACTTATTCTCAACTGTGAATTTTCCAAGGGTATCTGAACTAGATGAGGTCAAATAATAAAATGTGTTGTGATGTAAACTCTAGCCTTTTCGTATTTATATCCTGGTGGAGAATCATGACACCTTAATACACATTTCATAATTTATATAAGGTATTTTATTAAATAATTCAATTAATGGTCTGTAGATGAGAATTTTTGGTTTTGCAGGTTTTATGCATAAGACAATGATTCATGTTTTTAGTACAGAACATAGCAATCAATTGTCAATCTCCAGATGAATTTAATTCCTGTCTTCAAACTGTGCTTTATTTTTTAACAGATATGCCGCTAAAAATTCTATAGGGTTTATAGGCCTGAAAAGAAAAGATAAACAATAGCTATAAAATAAAATTCTTTTAACTTCAATTAACTTATGAAGTTAATATGAAAATTAAAACATAATTCAAATCCTATTTTCAATATTATAATATTCAAATACTGAATATTAAAGCTATAGAAGATGTTGCTTATTTAAAAAGAAGAAAATACTTTGAATGTCATTCCAGATTGTCAAGCATTTTATTATACAACCAGTCACTAAAGTATATGGAATAATTCATGACTAAATTACAGGCCTTGCTGATTTATTAATTTGAGTTAGAACTTCAATTTCATGTATTAATCTGTCGTTTTGTTCTCACTTGATCATGAGAGTCAAAACATGTCAATCCAGCCATCTTATGAAATCACAAATTCCTTGAGATTCCTAGACCTAGCAGATGGCTACATGGTTTTAACATCAGTTTTCTCAACTGTTTTATCAAGAATATTGTTGATTCTTTGATTTGTATTTAATATTTAAATATTTTATTAAGTATTAATATGTTATGATGACTTTTTAAAAATAGTTTTTATTGAACATTTTTACCTTTAAAAACAGAAAGAAAAATACAACAACAAAACATATATAACAATGTAAAGTAATTTTACATATTTTATGATGTTTTAAGTCAAAAAGAGAATTTTTCAGCTGAGGACTGTGTGCTAGCAGGAGATACAATCATTCTGTTTCTGAAATATATTACTTTCTGATATCGTCCTCCTGAGGGCTTTCTCTGTATACACTAATCTCTTTAGTTCCAACCCCCATTCTTTCTACTCTTCAATTCAATCCTTTTTTCACATATTTGATATCGCAGGTCATATTTTAGCAGGTTATTGGCCATCTTGAAATGCGAACTAGATGGAGGGACTTCCAGGAAAGAAATGGTCAACTGACAATTGAGATGGAAAGAAGAGCTAATGACTAGCTCTTTCAAATTGTTCTCTGGACAAGAAGAGGACTTGAGATTACCCACAAGTGCTCAAGATAGTTAGTGTTCTCTAGTAGGTTTCAAAGATCTGGGAAAGGAGGGAATAATCATCTTGTTCAAACCATGATTGATGCCTTTGCTTCCTTTTGAAATCACTTTGGAAATAGCTTGTTAACTTCTTTTCAGCTATTAGGAATCTTTGAATTGACAGGTTTTATAGCACTGGGTGAATTTTCTTCAACACTTAGTAAAAAGTACAGAAATTAATTTTAAGAGTGTCTGCTTCTATAAATGGACCTTGTTTAAAAGACGTTATGGAAGAGAAACAAGTATTACCTAAGATTGAGACTGATCTGAAAGCAGATTTAAAAATGGCTGCAAGAATATGATAAAAGATGCTACAATGAAACAAACAGATAAGGCCTTAATAATTAAAAAAAATACAAACAAGAAATCAAGAGTGTGATTTGGATAATTTTATATATAACTTACCTCTCCTTTGCAAGGACTGCAAGGCCTTGTAATAAGATAGGGACAACTGTCTGATCCAGATATGCACGTGTAGGTAATGACTGAAGATCCACTTTCTGCTTCGATGTTTTTTCTGCACTTGTTTTCTCATTTTCCACTATCCGCTTAAAATTATAAACATACGCTTCGTGAAGATTTCTATCCCATCTCTAATTGAAATCCAAATTTCTTATTTAAATTACAGAGTTTCCAGGCATTCCTTTTGAGGTACTTAGAATGGGTATGACCAAAATGTGCAAGATTAATCTTTAGCATTTTTGAGAATTTAAAGAACAAATTTAGTGCCCTAAAATTTGGAGGTACATAAATCTCCCTTGATCATTCAATTAAAACTTCTTAAGTTGCACCCATATGCCCTTCAAGTTGCATGCTTCTGTGTCTAGAATATTTCCAAAGTTCTATGCATTTATTATAGTCTACACAAGCAAAATAATATTCTTCTGAATGGAACAGAACTCCAAGCAACAAAGCTGAAAATACTCATGCTTTTATTCAATAGAATTTATAGCGTTGGTTAAAGTTTTGTTGTACCAAAGTATACATATGAATATGCAAATGTATTCCAGAGACTTGAGTGGCCAATCCAGAATCCCATGGACGTATGAATCTTTAGAAACTCTTGAACTGTAACATCTGAAACTCAGTACTGCAATTTTCCAGCATCCAGCAGAACTTAAAATAGGCTTAGCATAATTTCAAAAATATCATAAATGCCCTATAAGTACTCCCAAGGGATGGGGGAAATAAGATTTCCATCTCTAACAATATACTAAGTATCTCTCCACCTAATTTGCATCATCACAAAGCAACCAAACAAAGCTTTTTGCAAGACAATTATAAAAACTTCTTTCATCAAGTTTTTTTTTAAAAAACCTAATAGACACCTCTCTAATTTTCAGTACGGTATCATAATCTCAGAACCAATATTCAATCAAACGTTCTAATACATAATATATATGAGGCTCCATTCAGCAACTCCATTCAGTTCTGTATCCAAAATTATACACTGAGTAGTGTATCATTAAATTTAGTTGGAAATAATCAAATCTCAATTACCTCTACATTTTCCGTAAGGCCATATTCTGCATGTGGATTTTCTGGAACCTGTAAAACAACACACAACCATAAAATAACAAGAAAGGAATATTTGCCTTTTTTTGAAAAACAAAATATTAAAGAATTATTATTACAGTTGCTGGTTTAAGCCCTTACCTGTGGCTGTCCCTCGATAATCTGTTCAGTATCCATGTTGTACAGAAGTTAAAATAATCTGAGAGAACTTTAAAAAAATGAGAATTGATTATACAAGTTAATATATTATGACATACAAGGCTAACATTCCGAACCTCAAAAGATATTTTGAGACCGGGACCTCGAAGTTATTTTGCTACTCTCCCGGATTCCAAGTACTTTTTATATTAAGCCAGTAAAGCAAAACTCTCTTAAGCAAGCGATATTTAAAAGTGATTTCACGACTTCGATGAGGCTATCAAAATTACCTGGGGGCCATAGACTGAGCAGGAACTAATCCCAGAATTAGAAAGCCCATGGATGAGATATATATTTATTAATTCAAAAGGAAGCCCGCTTTATTTCATGTAAGCGGAGATTGGATAGCAGCTTTTACTCGGCGTCCTAACAAAAAAAGCCTCTTTTTTTTGCAGTTAAAAATCAAGCAGGGAGGAATTAAGTGGTTCCGGCATATAAACTGCCCTAAGGCTGCAAAGTGCCTGTGCTCCTCTTACGATACTTACCCTTCGTCAACTAAATTCGGTTCCAAGATATAACTGGGAAGAAACGGCCCGTCGCGGAGCAACGAGGAAAACAGCCGTCGTTACCAGTCGTAAAAAGATATTGCTTGTCGTACGATGTTGTGCCATGGACTAGGAGGGACGTCGCACTTCACGGGCCACCAAGATTCCCCCTCCCTATTTGTGCGCCTGCGTAATAAGAAATGTCTCCTCCCCCGAGCGCTGCACCGAGTGGGTGGAGACTGTTGGGAAAAAAAAAACACCTCTCCGGTTGGTATTGAGCCGTGTAAAATGCGGGCTATGGATCCTCGAAATTAAAATGGTGCTTAGTCACCGAATCGATCAGGGTGAAAGAGTCCTTTTTTTCAGACGTTTGCTATAAATTTAACAATTTACAGAAAAGAAGCTATCACCTCACCACAAAGCAGAATTTTGTTCTGGATGAAGTACGGATTCGTGTTTTGCAATAGGCGTCTTTAACTTGCAAGCATTCAATGCTTTCCCTGTTTAGAAAAACTCAAGATGGGAAAAGGTGGGGCTTTCGGAACCGGGCTGCTGAAGTCCAGTGGATTTGATGTTTCCTGTATATTTTCTGTCTTCTAATGGAAGTCTGGATTGTCGCATAGTAGCTCTCTGCGTTGAGAGTATGAAGATTCCTTATGTAGATTCTGATGTTTATAGAGGCAATTTATTTGTTATAAATATCTTGATCCCAAATGAATTCTAAAATGTAAAATTACTGTAAAGTAAAACACCTTACCTTCTATCTTCATAAAATTATTTAGCACACTCCACTCTTCAATGAGGTGCCAACATATTTCAACTAATCAGCATTTCCCCCCTGGCTGCAGGGCAAGAATGCTGCTTTTTGCCTTCAAAGGGTAACTCATACTTGGAGAATAGTATTTCTGGTAAGGAGAGCAGAAAGCAAGTTTCCAGCTTTTTGGGATGGGTGGAGCAGGATTAATCATTGTATGAAATCCCTTGGAAGAAAAGGGTAGAGTTTCTCACTCCTCTGATTTATTGCATAATTTGGAATATATCAGGGTGTACTAATGTGTCACAAGATTTAATAAACACTTTTTACAATTAAGCCAAGACCATATCACTTTTTGCTTCCTTGAATGAGATTAATTACAATTTACTTTTAGGGACATAATCTCAAAAGTTGGAAGGAATGAGGATTTATTGTAGTTCTTAGATGCAGCCTCTTATGAATTATTGGAAATCCCAAGAAGCCTGTGCCCATAAAGCATATGCTTGGTAAATCACAACACACTAAACTGGAATCTATTTTACTTGATTTTAGTTTAGTGCATTGGGTAGATTTGGCCAAATGTAGCAAGCTTATTTGCTGTCAGCCTTTCAAAATAAAACAGGTCCAGGAATAAATAACACAAGGACTACTTTATTTTTATAAGACAACAGTCTTGAAATCCTGCCAGAGTATCTCTCTGCCTTCTTTTATACCAAACAGAATCAAGGCAGGATTATCTTGAGTTTATTTCTCACTCCTGAATTGTCAATTGTTTAATGTTCTTGCATTTCTTCTTCAAGTTTATCTCCATATTCCTTCCTCTTGGCTTATGTGAACCAGGCATTGTTTATTAGTAATACTGACTAACTGAACAAGGGAGGGAGAAGAGAATACTGGGACGCAGTAGTGACAATATAGTATAGAAAGCTGAAGGGGTCAGTGTGATAGATTGCCATCTTTTCTTTTTCTTATTCTAGCCATGTGTATTTAAAAGTTGTATTAAGTTCAATGGTGTTTACAGAACATTGGATTTGCAACATGTTTTAAGAAGAGGGGGGTGATAAAAATATAACTTTGTGCATCAGAATGACGTTTAGTCAAGTTAATTGTGCCATATTTAAAACCAGTTTGAGAAAAATTGCCCTATGTGAAGGTGTTTAGATCACTACAGGTGTTTAAGGTGTGATGATAGACTTAAGATAAACGGGCCTACAAGATGTTGAATCTGACTGCATCTTGTGGCAGCATGGTTTTACAGTAAGAGCCAATAGATGAACTTCGCACATGTGATACATGATACATATTTGCCTTTTTACCGTTATGAGTGATATATATGCTCCTAGCACTGCACTATTCTGGATAGAAAATTCTGCTGTTGGGAGATCTGTTGGAGATAGTCTCCCAGACCAGGAATTACAGCCTGAGTGCTCCTACCACTGGGACCACTTTGGCATTTACTTTCCACCTCCTTTGGGTCCCGGTACTTCTCCAATTTCTCATACAGCTTATTCCTGATATTGCTGTTATTTGGTGCGGCTATATCTATCACCACTGCAGAATGTATAGAGTAGCTTTGGAGACAGTTCAAATATATAGCGGCAGAGTGCAAGATGCAGGCGGGAACAGCATACACAAGTAGCTGGCACTGTATTCAGGAACCTCTGCACAATGTATGGACTAGACCCTCCCAAGTCCAGATGGGAGTTTCCACAGAAGGTCATGGAGAATAACAGGGCTAAAATCCCGTGGGACTTCCAGATCCAGATGGACAGGCAGATTTGGGCCAATCTACCAGATATTGTGGTAATAGACAAGAACCAGAAGTGATAGTGAAAAACGTAGCAGTGCCATACAGTAGCTGTGTCTATAGTACTTAGGAGTAGCATAGCAGTAACTGATAACTATACAAAATTGGAGATTTGAATTATCTGTACTGAATACTTATTTTATCTCCGCCCTACCTAGAATTTTAAGCTTCATTATTAACCTTTTAATGGGAGAGATATTAGCATTTTAAGGAGGCATCAATGCCTCTTTTTGAAATCAAAATTTTTAACTAGTCATTTTTTTAATCTGGAAAAAGAGCCTATAAACTACGATAGCTTATTCATAAACTAAATGAGAGACCATATTCCTTTAACACACATTTTAAGGACAATATAAACCTAGCTGGGAAAGGAAATAATGTAACCTATAAAATTACCATTTGTGGAATGTTATCGGAAATGTTCTTTGTTGTTCTATTCTCACATGTAATCAATGTACTTTTATTGTTTGATCGCTTGCTTTCATATGCATTGCATATATTTAATATATGGTTTCTGTACCCTATAAAATACGTTACAGTTCCCCTTAATAAACACTTTTTGCTTTCAAAAGCCATTTTGCAAAGTTAGTAAGCAAAGTTCAAGCAAATTCAGCCCCTGACTTTCTACACCACCTGTGGAATACTATATGTGTTAACATAAAAGTGAAAGAAAAGAAAGACAAAGTGGCCTATAAGGATAAGGCTAAATAGGAGTTATACTTACTACCTTTACAAACGCTCTTTTTAAAAACAATGACACATTGACCGAACCATAATGGCATAGCTCACACAATAACACTACAACTCCAATCCTTCATCTTTCAATATTAAGCCCAAAGCAACCGCATAACTATTTATTGGGATGTGCAAATCAGCCAAGGAGTTCGGTGCAACGCCTTAGTTTTACAGCAAGCGAGAGGCAGCTCTTGCCGATTTTGAAAACATAAAAGGGGCTTATAAAGCTACCACATTTCTAGGATCATCTGACAAGACACCACGAGGAAAAACATTCTGACTCCCATTCGGCAAAGGTTGTTTAAACGACATTACCCAGACTGCATCGCTCTCACACAAAGGACGAACTTCCTAACGTGGAATGGAACCCAAACTTCCGATATTCCTCTGAAAAGAAGCATTGCGCTCCGGCGTCGATCGTCCTAAGACTAACAATAGACCCTCGAAAGGAGCTTACGGAGTTTCTTATTCAGAAAGGCTCGCTACGTAGACTTTCTCGTCTGCGCGTGTGAGAGATAGCGGGGTTGAGCAAAAAAGGGGCGTAGCCTCCGCTATGGCAGGCCCTCGCAGGTGGTTGTTGTCAGTCGCTGGCAGCGGGTTATGGCTACGGTGGTGATGAATGAATTCTCCGGGAGGGAGAGGGAAGAAAAAGGGCTTAAGCGCCTCCAGCTCCCCGACTCGGACCGCCGGAGCCTCACCTTCATCCGCGGCCGGTTCGGCTTCCGCCTCACACCGCCAACAGGCGGCGGTGGCTTCTCCTCACAAGCGGAATCTCTACTATTTCTCGTATCCGCTTTTCGCCGTCTTCGCGCTGCTTCGTTTCCTCGCCTTCCAACTCGGGCTGCTCTTCGCCTGGCTGTGCGAGCGCCTCTCCCGCGGCGGGGCGTTGATGGCCGCCGCCAAGGGCACCAGCCGGGCAGGCGATGCACCCGAGTCGGTACGAACCTGTCACAAACGCGCCTTCGAGTGCATCTCTACGGCTCTGCGCATCGACGAAGACGAGGCGGGTAAGCTAAGTCGGGGGTTGGGGGAAGCGGACAGGGCCGACGGACGAGCCCGAGGGGGAAAGCTGCGAGGTTCGCCAGCTGTTCGGGGAAGCCTTCCTTTTTCGGCTTATTCTCGTCTAGAAGCAGGCTCGGTTTTCTGCTTCGTCATAGCCTCTGCTTTCCCCTCAGGCTCGTGGCGAAGCGACAGCCGGCATTACTGCTATATTAGGGCCGGACACCTGCTTATCGCCTAACACGGCTGTGCCTTAAAAGCCGCTACGCCTGTGTGAGCGACTCTCGCCTTAAGAAAGCGAGGCGAAGGGAAGGAGCTGAGAAAGATGATCTCTCGGGCTCGGCGTGGATGGAGCTGGCGTCGGGATGTTGAGTGTCAGCAGCGATGAACATCGCTCTAACGTCGTTAACAGCCTTAACGGGGTGGGTGGGTGGGTAGAGATGCTCTTAGAGACAGGTGTATAACGGGAAGGGACGGGATTGCAAGCGTTGAATTGCCCAGGCCGAGAAGACCCACGTTACAACCACACAGCAGCAGTAAAAGGGTTCCTCCTCTGCATGAAAGATGTTGATAGGAAGGGCTTGTGGGTGGAGCCCATGTGAGGGGAGGCTTTGTTGTGAGTCTGAAAGAGACTTTGTGCTACAGGATTGGGTTAAGTCTCTTTGTTCTCTAGGTTCAGGTTGTGTCTTATTCATGCATTGCATTCCTCCCAGTCTCTTCTGTAGTGACTCTCCAGCTTACATGTTTACGGGTGTTATGTTATTTTTTTCTGGCTAGCAGGGTTTTTTTAATTTTTAGGCTAGGGCGGCCTTTCAGTTGATTTTGAACTCCTGGCAAGTGCCTGGATAAATCTCTGCAGTTTTCTTGGCAAACAGTTTTGGAAGTGATTTTCCCGTTTTTCCTCCTAGCGCTGACAGAGAGGCTGGCCCAAGGTCACCCACCTAGTTTCACACCTAAAGTGGGACTACAACTCCCTAGGTATAGCCTGGTGCCTTAATCGCAACACCAAACTGGCTCTATGGCTGTCATTAGAGAGGAGAAAAAATAATTGCTGTTGAATGATGACTTCTTTAGGCAAATGATCCAAAATGGCATTTTCCTTATACGGTTAGGTTACTGTACAGCAGTAACTTAAGCAGGAGTATGTTAATATTAGGTGGAGTGTGGATGGTACAAGTTGTGTCTTGTCAGTTGCAAACTGTCAATAATTAATAGCAGCTTGCTGACAGTAAAGTTTTGAGGCCAAGCTAAACCCATTGATAGAAGTGCTTAAATACCATATCTACATTTTGCAGATTTGTAGATTTTGTGAGATATGTTGCTAGAACTCTTTCCTATTGAAATAGATGAAACCACCTTGATGTGTTAATTTTTATCAGCATCACTACCTTGATTAGATCTATTCATTTTTGCCTTCTGTAAAATATATTCAAGCAGTTCATAACACACAAAATGGAAAGAATAAAGGTTAAATTACATTTGTAGCATTGTATTGTTGTGCCTATTTCTTGGAAAGTGAGACTTTCCAAGTTATACTTGTTGGAAAATATATTCAGCTACCTTTCACTGAATCAGATCATTAGTTAATTATTGTCCAATATAATATATTTGAAAGCCAATAATTTTTCAAACAAAAATTTGTCACATCATTGTTACCTAAGATTTTAAACACTAAAAATGTCAGATAGTTAACCTGCATACATACATGTGCTAATAAATGTAGAAATGCTCTATTAATGGCAGTATTTTAGTTTTTCTTAATTTTTGAGTTTTATATCTGTTTAAAAAAATTAAAACTTGCTTTTAGAAGTTGATGAAAATTTCTGCTCTGTTGTCCTGTTTCTATTCCGCAACAATAGTATGTATGCAGCAAAAGATTTACTTCAGTTAATTCTACACAGTACCATAGGGTGAAATATTTTGATTAAATGTTAACTGCAGTGATGATTTTCCACTGTCTTCTTGGCTGTGGTTGCATGACATACAGGCCTACAATACATATTTTAACCTTGTTAATATTTAACCACTGTGGTTATTTTATGGTAAATTGAATAATGATTAACTATGGGTTAGTGAGAGGTAATCACAAGCATTATTGGAGCTCTGTTTCAAGCCACGTTTTCTGGAATAGGATGCAAGTAGAGAGATATATTTGGTTTGGTTTGGTTTTGGTTTTATTTGACTTGTATGCCGCCCTATTCCTGGAAGACTCAGGGCGGCTAACAATCAGAAGGGGAGGGGGTACAAAAA